ATATATATATATTAGTGATATCTAGGCACCACCTCCACTAATTTTCTAAATATATATAATAATTTCATTAATAAATTATGTATTCACTAATTTCTTACTTAATAATTATATGAATGCATTAATCTATTAAATATCTATTACTATATATTATGTGATATATAGTTTATATACATATATTATATATATTATATATAGTCCATATATATAATATATATTATATATATATATATAAAAAATTTAAATATATATATATTAGTGATATCTAGGCACCACCTCCACTAATTTTCTAAATATATATAATAATTTCATTAATAAATTATGTATTCACTAATTTCTTACTTAATAATTATATGAATACATTATTAAATATCTATTACTATATATTATGTGATATAGAGTTTATATACATATATTATATATATTATATAGTCCATATATATAATATATATTATATATATATATATATAAAAAATTTAAATATATATATATATATTAGTGATATCTAGGCACCACCTCCACTAATTTTCTAAATATATATAATAATTTCATTAATAAATTATGTATTCATTAATTTCTTACTTAATAATTATATGAATACATTAATCTATTAAATATCTATTACTATATATTATGTGATATATAGTTTATATACATATATATATTATATATAGTCCATATATATAAAATATATATTATATATATATATATATAAATTTAAATATATATATATATAGATACTAGTGATGTCTAGGCACCACCTGCACCAGTTCCTGACTGCATTCCCCCCATCCCCACCATGGCCGGGTGGTTTCCAGCCCAGCCGCGGCCGGCACCCACCTGAGGCCAGCATGGCGGGGCAGGCGCCGCCGGGCTCCTGGCGGTATTTCCTGCGCGCCGTGGGCGCCCTGCAGCCGCTGCTGTGCCTCTGGCACTTCTTGACGCACCAGCGGCGCGGCTTGCGCTCGCCCTCGGCCAGCGCCTCCCCGCCCGGCAGCTTCTTCAGGAACTTCTTCTCCACGTACTTCTCCTTGATCCAAGCCTCCTTGTCCTGCCTGAGAGGGGGCAGCACGCAAAGGCAAATTTAGGGGATTTGGGCCAAGGGGTTTTGTCCACCTGAAGCCTAAAATTCCTGTTCCTCAAACTCAAAAATGAGTTTTGCATTTGCAGATTTCTGAGGGAACTGGGTTTAGCCCAAAGCCGCCATGAGGAGATTGAGCTCTTCCTCTGGGGTGTTTTGTCCACCTGAGGCCTAAAATTCCTGTTTCTCAAACTTAAAATGAGGGATTTTGAGGTCTGTGGACCTGATTGTCAAGAAGGAACTGGGTTTAGCCCAAAGCAGCCATGAGGAGATGGAGCTGTTCCTCTGGGGTGTTTTGTCCACCTAAAGCCTAAAATTCCTGTTTCTCAGACTTTAAAATGAGGCATTTGCAGATCTCTGAGGGAACTGGGTTTGCCCAAAGCCACCATGAGAAAATGGAGCTGCTGCTCTGCAGTGTTTTGTCCACCTGAAGCCTAAAATTTTTGTTTCTCAGACTTTAAAATGAGGCATTTTGAGGTCGCTGGACTTGCCTGTCCAGAGGGAACTGGGCTTGCCCAAAGCAGCCATGAGGGCTTGAGCTGCTGCTCTGAGGTATTTCATCCACCTGAGCTCTAAAATTGCTATTTCTCAACCTTTAAAATGAGGCATTTTGAGGTCTCTGGACGTATCTTTCAAGAAGGAACTGGGTTTGCCCAAAGCCACCATGAGGGGATGGAGCTGCTGCTCTGGGGTTTTTTTGTCCACCTGAAATTCCTATTTGTCCAACTAAAAAATTCTCCTGTTTCAAAGAACAACCAAAAGGTGCAGGGGGGGTTGAGAGTGGAATGAGCCCCAGGTGCTTCAGGTATTTGGGAGGTCTCAAATTTAGGGTAAATCCTGCAATTCCTGGTAAATCCTGCAATTCCCAGCCCCGCTGACCCCCACGAGAGACCAGCTCAGGTGAGTGGGATGGCATGGGGGGACCTGAGGAATTTGGAGCCCTCTGAACCGGTTCTCCATGGGTTTGGGGTTGCCGTGGGGATCCCTGAAGCTTTTCCACAGATTTTGGGCTCACCTGGAACTCCCTGCTGTTGGTTTCTTCAGCCCCAGCTCCTCACACTGCGCCTCGTAAATCTGGTTCATGGTGCTGTTGCCCAGCTCACACATCAGCTGGAAGTGAAATTCAGGGAGGGAATTAAAAGGCTCAGGGGAGGAATTCCCCCTTTTCCAGGGAATCCCTGGATTCCCAGAATTCCTCCCTGGGAGAATCCAGCACTCACTTTCAGCAGCTCTGGCTCCCAGGAGTCCAGCGTGAGGGATCGGACCTTGGAGCAGTGAACACCCAGGCTCCTGTTCAGCCAAGAGGGAGAAAATCCAGAAATTATTACAATTCCACAAACCCACAATTTCCCAAACGAGGTTAGGCCAGCTCTGAATTATCCCTCTGCAATTCCAGCTCCACCACTTTTCCTAGAATCCTGCACTCCATCCCTCGCCATTTTTCTCCTGGGAATCTTTTAACCCATCCCTGGTTGTTTCCCCCAGAATCCTGCCCTCCATCTCTGGCCATTTTCCCTGTAATTTTTCCCTGGAATCCTGCACTCCATCCCTACCCATTTTTCCTGGGAATATTTTAGTCCATCCCTGGCCATTTCTCCTGGGAATCTTTTGGTCCATCCCTTGACATTTTCCCTGGGATCCTGCCCTGCATCCCTGCCCATTTCCCAGGATTTTTCCCTGAAATCCTGCCCTCCCTCCCTGGCCATTTTCCCTGGGATCCTGCCCTCCATCCCTACCCGTTTTCCCCAGGACTTTCCCCCAGAATCCTGCCCTCCATCCCTACCCATTTTCCCCAGGATTTCCCCTGGGATCCTGCCCTCCATCCCTGCCCATTTCCCTGTGATTTTCCCCTGGGATCCTGCCCTCCATCCCTGCCCATTTCCCTGGAATTTTCTCCCAGAATCTTGCCATCCATCCCCAGCCATTTTCCCCAGGATTTTCCCCAGAAATCCCGCCCTCCATCCCTGTCCATTCCCCCCGATTTCCCCATGAATCCCACCCTCCATCCCTCCCCATTCCCCCCTGATTTCGCCAGGAATCCCACCCTCCATCCCTCCCCATTCCCCCCCGATTTCCCCAGGAATCCCGCCCTCCATCCCTGTCCATTTTCCCCAGGACTTTTCCCCTGGGATCCCGCCCTCCATCCCTGCCCATTCCCCCCGAATTCCCGCAGATCCCAGAGCCCAGCACACCTGTGGATGCCGGAGCACTCGATGCACAGCAGGATGCCCAGGTTGATGCTGGCCCAGCGGGGGTCTGCCTGCCCGCAGTCGCAGCACTGCTCGTTCCCAGGGATGCTCTGCACCCTCTGCAGGATCGTCTCCCCCTTCCCGCTGCGCTCCCGCGAATCCGTGGCCGAGTCGATGCTGCTGGTGGAGGGGGAGGCTGTTCTGTCCAGCCTCTGCAGGGAAAAGCAATAAATCAGGAGATGAACGCCTCCAGCACACCTGGAGGAAGGCAAACTCGGCTTGGTTTGATGCCTTGGAGTGGCTCTAAAGCAGGAGGATGACACCTCAGTGTTGGATTAAGTTCTTTTTTGATTTAGAGATGGGGCAACTGAGGTGTTTTAAAAATTTTTTATTTTTAGTCTTATGTGAAGGGTGAGACAATACAGATGTTGTAATTTATGTTATTACAATTAGAAGCTGTTTTTTAATTACAATATACTATAAGTGTTTTTTGGCTTATTAGTTTTTGTTACACTATGTTATAAATTTTATCTCAGTGTTTGCATATACATGTACAAGACTGTGTGAGCTTTCTGCCAGGTTTTGAGAATTCTTTACAAATCCATTTCCCACATCTCCACCTTTTTCTTGAACTGTAAAAAGAACAGTTTTAAGAATTCTTTACAGCTCCATTCCAATATCTCCCTGTTTTTCTTGAACTGTAAAAAGAACAGTTTTAAGAATTCTTTACAGCTCCATTCCAATATCTCCCCCTCTTTCCTGAACTGTAAAAAGAACAGTTTTAAGAATTCTTTACAGCTCCATTTCAATTTCTCCCTGTTTTTCTTGAACTGTAAAAAGAACAATTTTAAGAATTCTTTACAGCTCCATTTCCCACATCTCCCCCTCTTTCCTGAACTGTAAAAATAACAGTTTTAAGAATTCTTTACAAATCCATTTCTCACATCTCCCGCTCTTCCTGGAGCTGTCAGCAGTTTTTAAAAGTCTGCAGAAAGAGCAGGCTGAAGCACTCTGCCGCAGCCCTCACCTCGAGGTAGTAGCAGTCGGGGCTCTCGCGGTAGGCGGAGGCGATGCTGGCTTGCACAGCCTGGATCCAGGCCTGGCGCAGCTTCTCCGAGTCAGCCTGCAGCATGCAGCTCCTGCAGCAGCAGGGAACGGGTGGCAACGGGGTGGGGAGAGCCAAAAACACCACCAGGCTTTGGGGTGGGGCTGTTCCTCTTCATCCTCAGCATGGGGATTGCAGCGGGGCAAAAATTTACCCCAGGAGGTTGGGGTTGTTCCCACCCCAAAGCTTCCAGGTAAAAATTTACCCCAGAAGGTTGGGGTTGTTCTCACTCCAAACTTTCCAGGAAAAAAAGAACCCCACAAGTTTGGGGTGTTCCCTCTCCAAAGCTTCCAGACAAAAATTTACCCCATAATGTTGGGGTGTTCCCTCTCCAAACTTACCAGGTAAAAATTCACCCTGCAAGGTTGGGGTGTTCCCACTCCAATTCTTCCAAGCAAAAATTTACCCCACAAGGTTGGGCTGTTCCCATTCCAAAGCTTCTGGTTAAAACTTAACCCTACGAGCTTGGGGTGTTCAAACCTTTCAGGGAAAAATTTACCCCATAACGTTGGGGTGTTCCCACCCCAAAGCTTCCAGGCAAAAATTTACCCCATAATCTTGGGGTGTTCCCTCTCCAAACTTACCAGGTAAAAATTCACCCTGCAAGGTTGGGGTGTTCCCACTCCAATTCTTCCAAGCAAAAATTTACCCCACAAGGTTGGGCTGTTCCCATTCCAAAGCTTCTGGTTACAACTTAACCCTACGAGCTTGGGGTGTTCAAACCTTTCAGGGAAAAATTTACCCCATAACGTTGGGGTGTTCCCACCCCAAAGCTTCCAGGTAAAAATTTACCCCATAAGGTTGGGGTTGTTCTCACTCCAAACTTTCCAGGAAAAAAAGAACCCCACAAGGTTGGGGTGTTCCCTCTCCAAAGCTTCCAGGCAAAAATTTACCCCATAACGTTGGGATGTTCCCACTCCAAACTTACCAGGTAAAAATTCACCCTGCAAGGTTGGGGTGTTCCCACTCCAATTCTTCCAAGCAAAAATTTACCCCACAAGGTTGGGCTGTTCCCATTCCAAAGCTTCTGGTTAAAACTTAACCCTACGAGCTTGGGGTGTTCAAACCTTTCAGGGAAAAATTTACCCCATAAGGTTGGGGTTGTTCCCTCTCCAAAGCTTCCAGGCAAGAATTAACCCCACAAGGTTGGGCTGTTCCCACCCCAAAGTTTCCAGGTAAAAATTTACCCCACAAGGTTGGGGTGTTCCCATTCCAAAGCTTCTGGTTAAAACTTAACCCTACGAGCTTGGGGTGTTCAAACCTTTCAGGGAAAAATTTACCCCATAACGTTGGGGTGTTCCCACCCCAAAGCTTCCAGGTAAAAATTTACCCCACAAGGCTGGGGCTGCTCCCCTCCAAAACTTCCAGGTAAAAATGAACCCCACAAAGTTGGGGTGTTCCCTCTCCAAACCGTCCAGGCAAAAATTTACCCCATAACGTTGGGATGTTCCCACTCCAAACTTACCAGGTAAAAATTCACCCTGCAAGGTTGGGGTGTTCCCACTCCAAAACTTCCAGGTAAAAATTTATCCCACAAGGTTGGGCTGTTCCCATTCCAAAGCTTCTGGTTAAAACTTAACCCTACGAGCTTGGGGTGTTCTCACTTCAAACCTTTCAGGGAAAAATTTACCCCATAAGGTTGGGGTTGTTCCCTCTCCAAAGCTTCCAGGCAAAAATTTACCCCATAAGGTTGGGGTGCTCCCTCTTGAAAGCTTCCAGACAAGAATTAACCCCACAAGGTTGGGGTGTTCCCACCCCAAAGCTTCCAGGTAAAAATTTACTCCACAAGGTTGGGCTGCTCCCCTCCAAAACTTCCAAGTAAAACTTAACCCTACCAGCTTGGGGTATTCTCACTCCAAACCCTTCAGGCAAAAATTAACCCCACAAGGTCGGACAGCAAAAGATGTTCCCACTCCAAACTTTCCAGCCAAAATTAACCCCACAAGGTTGAGGTGTTCCCACCCCAAATCCTCCAGGTAAAAATTAACCCCACAAGGTTAATTGAGGCAGAGGTGCTTCCAATCCAACCCAGGGAGCCGTGGGGAGCCCCAGACTCACTTGGTGGGGGAGACGACCTCGAAGCAGAACCTCCTCTCGATGTCCTCGCAGGGTTTGACCGTGCAGAGCCTCAGGTCCTCCACCACCACGGTCAGCACGTCCTGGGGGACACAGCAGGGCCTGGAGGGGCTTGGGGGGATCCCTGGGGCTGGGGCACAGCTGGGAAATTCCTGCCCAGACCCTCCAAACTCTTTCCCAAATCCTCCCAAGTCCCCCCTGCCCAAACTCTGCCAATTCCTTCCCAAAACTTCCAAAGCCTCAAGCCCTGCAAAATTCTTCCCAAACCCTCCAAACCTCCTTCTGCTCCAAATCCTCTGAAGTTCCTCCTACCCAAAACCTCCAAAATTCTTCCCAAACCCTCCAAACCTCCCGTTAAAACTTAACCCTTTGAGCTTGGTGTGTTCTCACTCCAAACCTTCCAGGGAAAAATTTACCCCATAAGGTTGGATAGCCAAAGGTGTTCCCACTCCAACCTTTCCAGCCAAAATTAACCCCACAAGGTTGAGGTGTTCCCACCCCAAATCCTCCAGGTAAAAATTAACCCCACAAGGTTAATTGAGGCAGAGGTGCTTCCAATCCAACCCAGGGAGCCGTGGGGAGCCCCAGACTCACTTGGTGGGGGAGACGACCTCGAAGCAGAACCTCCTCTCGATGTCCTCGCAGGGTTTGACCGTGCAGAGCCTCAGGTCCTCCACCACCACGGTCAGCACGTCCTGGGGGACACAGCAGGGCCTGGAGGGGCTTGGGGGGATCCCTGGGGCTGGGGCACAGCTGGGAAATTCCTGCCCAGACCCTCCAAACTCTTTCCCAAATCCTCCCAAGTCCCCCCTGCCCAAACTCTGCCAATTCCTTCCCAAAACTTCCAAAGTTCCCCCTGCCTCAAGCCCTGCAAAATTCTTCCCAAACCCTCCAAACCTCCTTCTGCTCCAAATCCTCTGAAGTTCCTCCTACCCAAAACCTCCAAAATTCTTCCCAAATCCACCAAATTACTTCCCAAAATCTCCAAACTCCTTCCTACCCAAAACCTCCAAAATTCTTCCCAGATCCTCCCAAGTCCCTCCTGCCTCAAATCCTCCAAACTCCTCCCCAAGCCCCCCCAAACTCCTCCCTAAACCCCTCAAACTCCACCCCAAAACTCCTCCCCAAACCCCAAAACTCCAGGGCCACAGGAAGGGATTTTGTGGGAATTTGTGTGGGGTCACACACACAAAGCATCAGGTTTTACTGGGGACTTAATTACTTAATAAGTAATTATTTAGTACATAAAAAATTGAATAAATAAATGCTTAGTAAATAAGTAGTTATTATTCAATAGAGAATTAATAAATAATTACTTAATAAATTATTGTTTAATAGATAGTTAACAAATAATTACTTAATAAGTAATATTTAATAAATACATAAATACTTAATAAATAAACATTTAATTAATAATTATTTAATAAAGAATTACTTACTAAACAATTATTTAATAAATCTTTGCTGCCTTTTTCCAACCCTGGAGCAGCTCATGGCCTTGCTGTCCCTCTGATCCAAACCCCTGCTCCTGCCACCCCACTCCTCCCCAGCCAAGCAGTTAGTTAATGAACTCATTAATTAATTAATTAACCACTTGGTTGATCCCCTGCTGTCACCTGGGGCAGCCTCACTGACCTTTAGCTTCTTCTGGTAGACCAGCTGGCTGTTCTGGATGGAAAACCACCTCCTGAGGGGGACAGACACACAGACAGACATCAGCATTTCCCCATTAAAAAAATTCCAATTTTCATCAGGCTTTGGAATAAATAAATTAAGTAAATAAAATAAAATTAAATTTTAAAATAAATACAATGTTTTAATGGACTGTTTATGCACAGAAACTGCCTTTATCTGCATGGAAAAAAATTAAATTAATTTAAAAATTCATTAATCCCGTAAGATTGGGGTGTTCCCTTTCCAAAAAGGATTGGAATTAGAGTTTTTTGAAGGTGTTGCGTAAGAATTTCTTTCTTTGAAGCTTCCCCTGGTGCTGAGGAGGCAGGGGAAGGGAATTCCAGGGAAATTTGGTGCCATTCCTTGTCCCTCAGGCTTCCTGGTCCCAGTGGATCCAGGTGGAAATGGACATTCAGGAATGGGAGAAAAAAGCTGGGGAAAAAAAGGGAAAAAATGGGAAAAAAATAGGAAAAAAAATGGGAATGAAGACAGGGATGGAGCTGCCCACCTGGGACTGGGCTGGGGGAGGATTTTGGGACAAAACCTGGGATTTGAGGGCAGGGAAAACCTTGGAGCTGATGAGGCTGATGTTATTTAGAGGTCAGGAAAAGCAGGAAGAGGCTGATGTTCCCTCCAGGATAAGCAGGGAGGATCCTGGTCACGATTCCATTGTAAAAAAACACTAAAACTACAAAAAAAACCTCTCAAAGCAACCTGATTTTAATGATTTGAAATTACTTTAATGAGTCATTTTTAACTCCTCAGCTCCAAACCCCTGCAGTGATGCTGAGATCTCACTGGCAGGGAAGTGTGCCCCAAGATCAGGTGGAAATGGAATTATTCCAATGAATTGGGAGTGATGATTTGGAATTGTTTCTCACCTGTTCCAGGTTTTGAAGGCGTTGCTGGCTCTCTTGAAGAGGTAACCTTCCATCACCACCCCGTTGGGGGCATCCACGTTGAACTCCACCTTGGAGTCGTCGTAGGAGAAGTCCTGGGGGAAGGAAAGAGACTCAGAATGGCAGGATCCCTGGGATCAGGGTGGAAAGGGGTTAATAAAACAAGAGAAAGGGACAAATCTGCCAAAATCCCAAAGTTTTGGGCAGGATTTCTGAGAGGATCCCCAGCATCAGGGTGGAAATGATTTAATAAAGCAAGAAAAAGGGATAAATCTGCAAAATCCCAAAGTTTTGGGCAGGATTTCTGACAGGATCCCCAGAATCAGGGTAGAGAGGGGTTAATAAAACATCAAGAAGAGAAAAATCTGCCAAAATCCCAAGGTTTTGCATAGGATTTCTGGGATCACTGTGGAGATGGATTAACAGAACAAGAAAAAAGAGACAGATCTGCCAAAATTCCAAAGTTTTGGACTGGATTTCTGACAGGATCCCCAGAATCAGGGTGGAAATGCTTTAATAAAGCAAGAAAAAGAGATAAATCTGCAAAATCCCAAAGTTTTGGACAGGATTTCTGAGATCAGGGTGGAGAGGGATTAATAAAACAAGAAAAAGGGACAAATGTGCCAAAAATCCCAAAGTTTTGGGCAGGATTTCTGAGAGGATCCCCAGAACCAGGGTGGAAATGGTTTAATAAAGCAAGAAAAAGGGACAACTTTGCAAAATCCCAAAGTTTTGGGCTGGATTCTGACAGGATTTCTGAGATCAGGCTGGAGAGGGATTAATAAAACAAGGAAAGGAAAAAATCTGCCATAATTCCAAAGTTTTGGGCAGGATTTCTGACAGGATCCCCAGAATCAGGGTAGAGAGGGGTTAATAAAACATCAAGAAGAGAAAAATCTGCCAAAATCCCAAGGTTTTGCATAGGATTTCTGGGATCACTGTGGAGATGGATTAACAGAACAAGAAAAAAGAGACAGATCTGCCAAAATTCCAAAGTTTTGGACTGGATTTCTGACAGGATCCCCAGAATCAGGGTGGAAATGCTTTAATAAAGCAAGAAAAAGAGATAAATCTGCAAAATCCCAAAGTTTTGGGCAGGATTCTGACAGGATCCCTGGGATCAGGGTGGAGATCCAGGTGGGAACTCACCTGCAGGAGGGTCTGCAGGGCCAGGCAGCAAAGCAGGCAGAAGAGGAGGGAAAGAAAAATAAATGAGTTTATTAATTTCATTATTAATAATAATAATTCATTATTTATTCCCAGCCTTCAGGTTGGGAATCGTTGCCAAGGGTGGGAAGTCTGAGATGCCTCAGATTCTCTTGTGAGAATAAAAAGAAATTGATTCCATTTAAATTCTGCTTTAAAAAAAATTTTTATTTTGACTTCAATATTAAATGTAGGATTTAAATTTAAATTTTAAAAAAGAAAAAGTCAGGAAAATCAGGAAAATCCTGAATCTGAGCAGCGTGAGCTGCCCAACAGCCACGAGGGACTCAAGAACATCCAGAAAAATCAGGAAAATCAGGAAAATCCTGAATTTGAGGCACCTGGAGCCGCCCAACAGCCACGAGGGACATCCAGAAAAGTCAGGAAAATTTGGAATTTCCAGGAAAATCAGGAATTTGGGGCTCACCCTCTGCTGGATCAGGGCGTGCTTGTGCTCCATCTCCCTCTTCTCCACGGCTGAGTCGATCACCAGCTGGTCCAGCTGGGAAAAACCAAGAGAGGGAAAATCAGGATGGAGCTGGAGAGGATGGGGTGGGGACAGAGACATCCTGGACCAAAAAGAACCAAAAAAGGGGAAAAAGAGAGAAAATGGGGGGAAAAGGAGGAAAAAATGGGGGAAAAGGGGGAAAAATGGGGGGAAAATAAGGAAAAAATGGGGGGAAAAGGAGGAAAAAATGGGGGGAAAAGGAGGAAAAATGGGGGGAAAAGGAGGAAAAATGGGGGGGAAAGGGGGAGAAAAAGGGGAAAAAGGGAGGGAAAAAGGGGAAAAAGGAGGAGGAAAGGGGGAAAAAGGAGGGGGAAAGGAGGAAGGGAAAGGAGGGAAAAAAGAGGGGAAAAGGAGGGGAACAGAAGAGGGAAAAGGACAGAAAAAGGAGAGCAAAAGGAGGCAAGAAAAAGGCAAAAAGGTGAAAGGGAGGCAAAAAGAAGGAAAAAATAAAGGAAAAAAAGGAGGGGGAAAGGAGAGAAAAAGGAAGCAAGAAAATGGCAAAAAAGGGCCAAAATGAGGCAAAAAGGGGCAAAAAGGAGGCAAGAAAGAGGCAAAAATGAGGGGAAAAGGAGGCAAGAAAAAGGCAAAAAAGAGATGAAAAGGAGGGGAGGAAGGGGGAAAAAGGAGGGGAAAAAGAGGGGGAAAGAAGGGAAAAAGGAGGCAAGATAAAGGCAAAAAGGAGGCAAAAAAGAGGAAAAAAGGAGGTAAAAAGGGGGCAAAAAAGGGGCAAAAGGAGGTAAAAAATGGGTAAAAAAGGGGCAAAAAGGAGGTAAGAAAGGGGTAAAAAAGGGGCAAAAAAGAGGCAAAAAAGGAGCAAAAAGCCAGGTCTGGGTGGGCACCCTCCCCTGCAGCACCCCCAGCACCAGCTCTGGCTGTTCCCTGCTGGCCAGGGGGGGCAGCTGGCAAGAAAAGGGGGAAAAAGCCCAAATCTTTTTGGGGTTCAGGGCAGCCCCAGGGCCAAAATGCGGCAAAAAGGGGCAAAAAGGAGGCAAGAAAGAGGCAAAAAGGAGGAGCAAAAATGAGGGGAAAAGGAGGCAAAAAAAAGGCAAAAAAGAGATGAAAAGGAGGGGAGGAAAGGGGGAAAAAGGAGGGGGGAAAGGGGGAAAAGAAGGGAAAAAGGAGGCAAAAAAGAGGCAAAAAGGAGGTAAAAAAGGGGCAAAAAAGAGGCAAAAAAGGGGCAAAAGGAGGTAAAAAATGGGTAAAAAAAGGGGCAAAAAGGAGGTAAAAAGGGGGTAAAAAAGGGGCAAAAAAGAGGCAAAAAAGGAGCAAAAAGCCAGGTCTGGGTGGGCACCCTCCCCTGCAGCACCCCCAGGACCAGCTCTGGCTGTTCCCTGCTGGCCAGGGGGGGCAGCTGGCAAGAAAAGGGGGAAAAAGCCCAAATCTTTTTGGGGTTCAGGGCAGCCCCCTCACCTCGGTGGCCAATTTCTTCATGTAGGGGTCGAGCTCGTGCAGGAGGCTGTAGCCCTGCTGGAAGAAGGTGAACTGGGCGTGCATGAAGGACAACATCTGGGGAGAGAAACAACAGAATTCCACTTGTATTTTAGAATTTTGAGGTTGTAAGATTAAGTTTAGAATTAAATCTAAGATTGTGAGACTTTTTTTTGGACAACATCTGAGGAGAGAAACAACAGCTGGAGCTGGGATTGGGAATTTTAGAATTTTGGGGTTGTAAGATTAAGTTTAGAATTAAATGGAAGATTTGATTTGAAACCATTTTTTGGATAACATCTGGGGAGAGAAACAACAGCTGGAGTTGGGATTGGACATTTTAGAATTTTGGGGTTGTAGGATTAGGTTTAGAATGAAATGGAAGATTCAGTTTGAGACTTTTTTTGGATAACAGCTGGGGAGAGAAACAACAGCTGGAGTTGGAAATGCAGGGAATTTTTGGAATTTTGGGTTTGTAAGTTAAAGTAGAATTAAATCTTAGATTTTATTTGAGACTTTTTTGGATAACAGCTGGGGAGAGAAACAACAGCTGGAGTTGGGATTTGGAATTTTTTGGGTTATAAATTAAAGTTTGGAATTAAATGGAAAAATTGGTTTGAGACTTTTTTTGGATGACATCTGGGGAAACAACAGCTGGAGCTGGGATTGGAATTTTTAGAATTTTGGGGTTGTAAGTTTAGAATTAAATGGAAGATTTGATTTGAGACTTTTTTTGGATAACAGCTGGGGAGAGAAACAACAGCTGGAGTTGGAAATGCTGGGAGTTTTAGGAATTTTGGGGTTGTAAGTTTGGAATTAAATGCAAGATTTGAAGGTTTTTTTGGACAACAGCTAGGGAGAGAAACAACAGCTGTGTTGGGATTTGGAATTTTTAGAATTTTGGGGTTGTAAGTTTAGAATTAAATGGAAGATTTGATTTAAGACTTTTTTCTTGACAACATCTGGGGAGAGAAACAACAGCTGCAGTTGGGATTGGGAATCTTGGAGTTTTGGGGTTGTGAGTGGAAGTTTTGAATTAAATTAAAGACATCAGGGTTGGGATTTGAAAGTTTTAGAATTTTGGGTTTGTAAGATTAAGTTTAGAATTAGATGGAAGATTTTTTTTGGAGATTTTTTGACGACATCTGGGGAGAGAAACAACAGCTGGATCAGGGCAGGGTGAAAAACCCTCACTTTTTTTTTTCCCAGCAATACAAAAAAAAAGGCTTTAACTCTTTATTTTTTATTTTCCCAAAGCGATTTATCCCTCTTCTCCTTCCTTGCACTTTGCTGTGGGCACAAAGAAGGGAAAGCAGCACCCTAAAAATCCCAAAAAATTGGATTTTCCCCCTGAGGAGCAGCCAGGGCTCCTCTCCTGCAGCTCTTACCGCGTCCAGGATCTCGAATTTCTTCTTGGCCTGCAGCACGTTGATCTGGGGGGAAAAAAATCAAAATATTCCTCTCAGCACCAGCAGCAAAGCCAGCCTGGGAATCTCCAAATCCACTGGGAAATGAATCCCAAAGGATTCCTGAATAATTCCAGTGCAAAGTGTCTCTAAGGTGGGGTTTGGTGAGCTCCAGGTGGGGTAAAAAGGTGCCAGAAATGCACATTTCTCACCTGGACTGGTTAAAATCACTGCTGGGGAAACTTTTATTCCTTTCTCTTACTGAGATCAAATCATTGATTGAAAGGATGTTATAATAATTAATATAATTTATTTATATATATAATTTCTATATAAAATACATATATTTATATATAAAAATATAGAATATATTCTTTAAATATTTATATAAAATTTTGGTAAAATTTAATATAAGTTATGTATATTTTAAAATTTTATAAAGCTTATTGAAATGATTTATTAAAAGAGTAATTTTAGATGATTAGAGCATTTACAGCATGGTATAACTAACACTGGTAGGCCAAGAAACACTTATAATTAAGAAATTAGTAATATAATCACTGTGTATTATAAATTAGAAATTAGTATAATTAAGAAATGAAGAAAATAGTTAATTCTGATTGTGATGGTGTGAATTATCACATCTGTATTGTCTCACTCTTCTCATGAGGTTGAAAATAAAATAAGTTTTTCAAACACACCTCAGTTACCCCATCTCTAAATAAATTTAAAAAACCCTAATCCAACACCCTCACTCTGTGAAGAGAGCTTAATGTAGGACTTAAATTGAAATTTAAAAAGAGAAAAAATCAGGAAAATCCTGAATTTGAGCAGTTGGAGCTACCCAACAGCCACGAGAGACTCAGAAAAATCGGGAAAATCAGGAAAATCCTGAATTTGGGCAGGATCATCTCCCTTAACATGAAACCCAGACCCTAAAAAATAGAAAAGCTAAAAGCTGAGGGGTCAGAGCACCCACCTGCAGCACGTAGTCCAGGGCCAGGTGCCTGAAGCATTTCCTGGTGATGCTCAGGGTGCCCGTGGCCTCCTCCACCTCGTGCGGCTTGTGCCGCGGCGCCTGCGCGTTCTTCACCAGCGAGATCTCCATGTCCTCCCGCACCTTGTCGAACTGCTTCTTGGTCTCCTTGAACTTCCTCACGTCGCTGGGACCACAAATGGGGAGAAATCAGAGAGAAATGGGGAGAAATCTGGGTTAGAAGGTGAGAATGAAATGTGGAGAGGAGCAGTGAGGATGTGGCCACACCAAGATCCATTCCAGCCTCAGTCGAGTCATTCTTGAGAGAGTTGGGAAAGATTTTTATTTTATTTTTATTTTTAGGATTATTTTGGGGTTATTTAATGGCTATTTTTGGGTTTATTTTATGGTTGTTTTATGGTTATTTTTGGTTTTATTTGGTAATTTTGGTGCGTTCTTCACCAGTGAGATCTCCATGTCCTCCCGCACCTTGTCGAACTGCTTCTTGGTCTCCTTGAACTTCCTCACGTCGCTGGGGACCAAGGAAGGAAAAATGGGGAGAAATCAGAGAGAAATGGGGAGAAATCTGGGTTAGAAGGTGAGAATGAAATGTGGAGAGGAGCAGTGAGGATGTGGCCACACCAAGACCCTGCTCCAGGTGCCAGCAGGATCCCAGCTCAGCCCAGCGTGTCCATTCCAGCTTCAGTCCAGTCTTTAGAGAGCTGGGAAATATTTTTTAAAATTTATATTTTTATTATTATTTGTGGGTTTATTTTATGATTATTTTATGGTTATTTTTGGTTTTATTTGATAATTTTGGTGCGTTCTTCACCAGCGAGATCTCCATGTCCTCCCGCACCTTGTTGAACTGCTTCTTGGTCTCCTTGAACTTCCTCACGTCGCTGGGGACCGCAAATGGGAGAAATCAGAGAGAAATGGGGAGAAATCTGGGTTAGAAGATAAGAATAAACTGTGGGTGCCAGCAGGATCCCAGCTCAGCCCAGCGTGTCCGTTCCAGCCTCAGCTGAGTCATTCTTGAGAGAGTTGGGAAAGATTTTTATTTTATTTTATTTTTATTTTTATGATTATTTTGGGGTTATTTAATGGCTATTTTTGGGTTTATTTTATGGTTGTTTTATGGTTATTTTTGGTTTTATTTGGTAATTTTGGTGCGTTCTTCACCAGTGAGATCTCCATGTCCTCCCGCACCTTGTCGAACTGCTTCTTGGTCTCCTTGAACTTCCTCACGTCGCTGGGGACCAAGGAAGGAAAAATGGGGAGAAATCAGAGAGAAATGGGGAGAAATCTGGGTTAGAAGGTGAGAATGAAATGTGGAGAGGAGCAGTGAGGATGTGGCCACACCAAGACCCTGCTCCAGGTGCCAGCAGGATCCCAGCTCAGCCCAGCGTGTCCATTCCAGCCTCAGTCAAGTCTTCCTTTAGACAGCTGGGAAAGATATTTTTTTATTTTATTATTATTGGTTTAATTTTATTATTTGTGGTTTTATTTTATTTACTATTATTATTGGGATCTGAACTTTGAGATGTTTATCCTGCAGGATCAGCCCTGCAAGATCTGAATTTTGGGATGGGTTTGTCCTGCAGGATCAGCCCTGCAGATGGATTTTGGGATGGGTTTGTCCTGCAGGATCAGCCCTGCAGATGGATTTTGGGATGGGTTTATCCTGCAGGATCAGCCCTGCAGATGGATTTTGGGATGGGTTTGCCCAGGAGGATCAGCCCTGCAGATGAATTTTGGGATGGGTTTGCCCAGGAGGATCAGCCCTGCAAATGGATTTTGGGATGTCCATCCTGAAGGATCAGCCCTGCAGGGAGCTTCTGGTTCTGCTCCCTGCACTCCCAGGACAGGTGGAATGGGAAGCTCAGGAAGCTGAAAATCAAAAGGAAAGGACAAATACTAAATACTTACTCTTTGACAAAATTGTGCAACTGCTGCCGGACCGACCTCTGGGCCTGGTCAAACAGGATCTGGAAGAGAGGAGAGGGGGAAAAAATCAATTATTTTGAAGAAGGGGAAAAAATATCAATTATTTTGTAAAAGGAGGAAAAAAATCAATTCTTTTGAAAAAGGGGGAAAAATTATTTTGAAGAAGGGGTAAAACGTAAATTCCTTTGCAGCACGGGAAGGTTGAGGAGTCAGAAAATTCATGAGCACTCCTGAAGACCTTCAGTGAGAGGGACTCAAAAACCTCCTGGGCTCTGTGGTGTTCATTATTTGGTGCCTGGCAGAAGAAAGAACAACCTTTCCCCACAGCTGCAGAATTCCCAGGTGCAGAATTCCTGCAGAATTCCTTATCCAGGAGCAGTTCCCTTCGCATCCCTGCTGTGAGGGGTTAATCCCGAATTTCTGGTTTTGCAGGATCCATCCCATCCCAAATTCCCAGTTTTCTGTGTCCATCCCACCCTGAATTCCCAGTTTTCTGTGTCCATCCCATCCCCAATTCCTGGTTTTCTGTGTCCATCCCATCCCAAATTCCTGGTTTTCCAGGATCCATCCCATCCCACATTCCCAGTTTTCCGGGTCCATCCCATCCCGAATTCCCGGTTTTTCAGTGTAAATTCCATCCCAAATTCCCAGTTTTCTGTGTCCACCCCATCCCAAATTCCTAGTTTTCCAGGATCCATCCCATCCCAAATTCCCAGTTTTCTGTGTCCATCCCATCCTGAATTCCCGGTTTTTCAGTGTAAATTCCATCCCGAATTCCTGGTTTTCTGTGTCCATCACATCCCAAATTCCCGTTTTCCCGGGTCCACCCCATCCCAAATTCCCGTTTTCCGGGGTCCATCCCATCCCAAATTCCCAGTTTTCTGTGTCCATCCCATCCTGAATTCCCGGTTTTTCAGTGTAAATTCCATCCCAAATTCCTGGTTTTCTGTATCCATCCCATCCCGAATTCCCAGTTTTCTGGAATCCAATCCATCCCATCCCATCCCAATTCCCAGTTTTCTGTGTCCATCCCATCCCAAATTCCTGGTTTTCCAGGGTCTATCCCATCCCAAATTCCCGTTTTCCCGGGTCCATCCCTCCCAAATTCCCGGCGCTGCCGGAGGAGGGCACTGGATCCTCAGCGCTGCATCCAGGGAAGGAGGGAGGGAAGAGCCCGAACCTCGCTGGGAATTCCTGAGAGCTCCCGAGCTGGATTCTTACAAATCCCCAAATTTTACCCTCTTAAAATGCAAAATAAATCGTTCCAAGCCCCTTCATTTACATATATTTACATTTATAAATGTTTATAGTTATATTCATTTGTGTTTGTGTTTATATTTAATTTTTATTTGGATTTATATTTACACTTATATTTATAATTATATTTATTTGTGTCTGTATTTAGGTTTATATTTTATTTATATTTGTATTTATGTCATGTTTATTTATATATGTATTTATGTTATATTTGTGTTATGCTCTTCTAGCACCTAAATTTGGGATGGGATCCCTGGGATGGAGGGGGAGCTCCTCAGAACTCCATTCAAAAATGAAAGTTTTGTGGAAGAAAATCAGGATTTTCTCAGCTTTGCCACAAAAACCACTGATTTCCCTCTGATTTATCCACTCCCAAACCCCACAGTCCTGGGGGGAGCTTTCTCCTGAAGATTTTTTTTCCTGGAAAAAAACCTTTCCACCTGCCTCATGAAATACCAGAAGGTGCAGCTTCTCCTGCAGCTGCTAGGCAGGAAGAGTTTGGGGAAGAAAATCAGGATTTTCTCTGCTTTGCCCCAAAAACTCTGATTTTCCACTGATTTATCCACTCCCAACCCCGCAGCCCTGGCAGAGCTGCACGTGCAGAGCTCAGATGAATCCTGAGAATCCCCTGAGGATTTTTCCCTGAGAAAAAAAACCTCTCCATCACGAGATGCCAGGAGGGACTTGCTGCAGCTTCTCCTGCAGCTGCAGCGCCTGGGTTGCATTTCAGAGCCTGATGGGCTCTGACAGGGCCCTGCTGGCCCAAAGTGGGTCAGGCAGAGCCACCCCTGCAGCTCCTGCACTTCAAATCACCTCTGCTGCAGCCTCTCATCCCAGCCTGACCCCAAAGAGCAGCTCTGGAGCACTCAGGGGGAGGCCCTGACTTTTTTTGGGAGGTTACAAATCCCCAAATTTTACCCTCTTAAAATGCAAAATAAATCGTTCCAAGCCCCTTCATTTACATATATTTACATTTATAAATGTTTATAGTTATATTCATTTGTGTTTGTGTTTATATTTAATTTTTATTTGGATTTATATTTACACTTATATTTATAATTATATTTATTTGTGTCTGTATTTAGGTTTATATTTTATTTATATTTGTATTTATGTCATGTTTATTTATATATGTATTTATGTTATATTTGTGTTGTGCTCTTCTAGCACCTAAATTTGGGATGGGATCCCTGGGATGGAGGGGGAGCTCCTCAGAACTCCATTCAAAAATGAAAGTTTTGTGGAAGAAAATCAGGATTTTCTCAGCTTTGCCACAAAAACCACTGATTTCCCTCTGATTTATCCACTCCCAAACCCCACAGTCCTGGGGGGAGCTTTCTCCTGAAGATTTTTTTTCCTGGAAAAAAACCTTTCCACCTGCCTCATGAAATACCAGAAGGTGCAGCTTCTCCTGCAGCTGCTAGGCAGGAAGAGTTTGGGGAAGAAAATCAGGATTTTCTCTGCTTTGCCCCAAAAACTCTGATTTTCCACTGATTTATCCGCTCCCAACCCCGCAGCCCTGGCAGAGCAGCACGTGCAGAGCTCAGATGAATCCTGAGAATCCCCTGAGGATTTTTCCCTGAGAAAAAAAACCTCTCCATCACGAGATGCCAGGAGGGACTTGCTGCAGCTTCTCCTGCAGCTGCAGCGCCTGGGTTGCATTTCAGAGCCTGATGGGCTCTGACAGGGCCCTGCTGGCCCAAAGTGGGTCAGGCAGAGCCACCCCTGCAGCTCCTGCACTTCAAATCACCTCTGCTGCAGCCTCTCATCCCAGCCTGACCCCAAAGAGCAGCTCTGGAGCACTCAGGGGGAGGCCCTGACTTTTTTTGGGAGGTTTTGGGGTGCAAAAAGGGCAGATTTGACCTCCTGGGGATTTAATTCTCAGAACAGTCCTGGGTGTTACAATCCTGCAGCACAGAGCAGGACTGGAACCCTCCACATCATCACCCATGGCCTGATGTCATTAATTTTGGATGCCAGGTTCCAAAATCTATCCCAAATCTGCCCCAGAAAGGTTTTTTTACCAGCCAGAATCACCTCTGCTGCAGCTTTCCATCCCAGCCTGACCCCAAAGTGCAGCTCGGGAGCATCCAGAGGCAGGCACTGCCTTTTTTTGGGGAGGTTTGGGGTGCAAAAAGGGCAGAGTTGACCTCCTGGGGATTTAATTCTCAGAACAGTCCTGGGTGTTACAATCCTGCAGCACAGAGCAGGACTGGAACCCTCCACATCATCACCCATGGCCTGATGTCATTAATTTTGGATGCCAGGTTCCAAAATCTATCCCAAATCTACCCCAGAAAGGTTTTTTTACCAGCCAGAATCACCTGTGCTGCAGCTTCCCATCCCAGCCTGACACCAAAGGGCAGCTCTGGAGCACTCAGGGGGAGGCACTGCCTTTTTTTTGGGAGGTTTGGGGTAGATTTGACCTCCTGGTGTTCTGTTTGTGGGGATTTAATCTTGGGGCAGTCCTGGATGTTAAAATCCTGCAGCACAGAGCAGGACTGGAACCCTCCACACCATCACCCATGGCCTGATGTCATTAATTTTGGATGCCAGGTTCCAAAATCTATCCCAAATCTTCTCCAGAAAGGTTTTTTGCCAGCCAAATTATTTTTGCTGCAGCTTCCCATCCCAGCCTGACCCCAAAGTGCAGCTCTGGAGCACCCAGGGGGAGGCCCTGACTTTTTTTGGGGTGCACAAAGGGCAGATTTGACCTCCTGGGGAGCTGTTTGTGGGGATTTCATTCTCAGGGCAGGATTAACAAAGCCTGGGTGTTAAAATCCATCAGCACAGAGCAGGGCTGACCCTTGATGTCATTAATTTTGGATGCCAGGCTCCCAAATCTATCCCAAAAATGTTTTTTACCAGCCAAAATCCTCCTCAGGGCTCTGTGTTTCCTCCCTCTGCTGCCCAAAAGGAAGAAAAAAAAATTCTGGAGTGCAAGATTTTGGTGAATTCTCCTCTTTTTTTTCTCACCCTTGCAGGACCTCTCTTTGTGAGAGACACAGGGGACATCAGCAATGCCACCAGCAGCCAAGGGGACAGGAGGAAGCAGCTCCTTACCATGTGATAATTGATCATTTCCTGCAGGCTGTCCCCAAATTTATCCAGGCACTCCTGGAAAAAAAACCAAAAAAACCCAGTAAAATACAATACAATAAAACTGAAATAAAATACAATAAAAAATAAAATAAAATATAAACTAAAATAAGCCTGGTGGGCTGCTCAGCTCCCAAATCCCTGCTGCTCACTGACCTACATTGCACAGCCTCCAGCACTGCCTGCTGAGCCTGGATCCCACCCTCCAAATCTCATTTTGAGTGGATCTCACTCTGATTTCCCTCCAAATCTCATTTTGAGTCAATCTCATTGTGACCTTCCAGCCTGGTGTTATCAGACTCTGCATCTCTCCAAATACCAAATCTCATTTTGAGTGGATCTCACTCTGACCTCTCATAAAATCTCCTTTTAAATGGATCTCAGCCTGACCTCTCTCCAAATCTCCTTTTAAATGGATCTCAGCCTGACCTCCCTCCAAATCTCCTTTTAAATGGATCTCACTCTGACCTCCCTCCAAATCTCCTTTTAAATGGATCTCACCCTGACCTCTCTCCAAATCTCCTTTTAAATGGATCTCACCCTGACCTCTCTCCAAATCTCCTTTTAAATGGATCTCACTCTGACCTCCCTCCAAATCTCCTTTTAAATGGATCTCACTCTGACCTTCCAGCCCGGTGTTATCAGATTCTCTGCATCCCTCCAAACACAAATCTCCTTTTAAATGGATCTCGCTCTGACTTCCCACCAAATCTCATTTTCAGTGGCTGGGATTTGTGATCCATTCCCAGCAGCAGAGACCCAATCATCCCCCAGCCCACACTGAGCCAGGAACAGGGATCTGAGCAGCCCCCAGCCCCCTGAGCATCCCCCAGCCCCCCTGAGCAGGATTTTGAGCACCCCCAGCCCCATGAGCAGCATTTTGATCATCCCCAGCCCCCCTGAGCAGGATTTTGATCACTCCCAGCCCCCACGAGCAGGATTTTGAGCACCCCCAGCCCCCCTGAGCAGGATTTTGATCATCCCCAGCCCCCATGAGCAGGATTTTGAGCACCCCCAGCCCCCCTGAGCAGGATTTTGATCACTCCCAGCCCCCACAAGCAGGATTTTGAGCATCCCCAGTCCCCTGAGCAGGATTTTGAGCAGCCCCAGCCCCCAGGCTCACCGAGATCATCTCGTCCTTCCTGCACTGCTGGGACAGGTCCCGCACGCCGCTGACGAAGTGTTTGTTGGTGGTGATGTACACCTTGCCCGCCTCCAGCATGCCACTGCACAGCTTCACCAGCTGGGGACACGCATGGGGACAGGGGGACACACGTGGGGACATGGGCACAGGGACAAGGACACAGGGACATGAGCACAGGGACAAGGACACAGGGACATGGGGACACGGATGCGGGCTCAGCACCGGGTTTGGACCAGCCTGGCTTTGTCCCACACCCTGGGTAAAATCCCAGCCCAGGAAAGGACAGGGATAAATCCCAGCCCAGGAAAGGACAGGGATAAATCCCAGTCCAGGACAGGGATAAAATCCCACCCTGGGACAGGACAGCCAGCCTGGAGCTCCTGTCCCAGCTCAGAGGAGCCCTGGGGACAAGCCTGGGGTGCCAAACATCAATTTAACATCTGGAAACAGACTTGGATTTTAGGGGACACTTGGAGAGACCCCATTTCTGAGCAGGGGCTCCAGCAGATCCAGGAGCAGGAGGAGGAGGTCAACATTCACCATGAGAGCCAGCCTGGAGCTCTTAGCTCAGCTCAGAGGAGCTCTAGGGACAAGCCTGGGGTGCCAAACATCAATTTAACATCTGCAAATGGGCTCAGATTTTAGGGGACACTTGGAGGGACCCCATTCCTGAGCAGGGACCAGAAATAGAGCCCGGTCCCCCTCTTGTGAGATCAAAACTGCCCTCACCTTGTCGAGCTTGGCCTCCATCTCCACCACACCTGCCAGGCCCCAGGCCTGGGGACAAGCTTGGGGTGCTAAACATGAACTTAACACCTGGAAACGGGCTCAGATTTTAGGGGACACTTGGAGGGACCCCATTTCTCAGCATGGGCTCCAGCAGTGCCCCTCAGACCACAAACTGCCCTCACCTTGTCCAGCTTGGCCTCGATCTCCACCACATCCGTCTCCACCTCATCGATGGTTGCCCTGCAACGGAACAGCAAGGAGGAATCGTTAATTAGCAGCAAGGGATCGTTAATTGGTGGCTTGTGATGATTGGGTAGGAGGCCAGGAAGGGGTGAGTGAGGATCAGAGGGGCTGAGGGTCTCGTTATTCCCTCTTGGATGTCAAAACCTCGGCGCTGAATCCCTCAGGAATGGATCCCAGGGCTGGAAAAAGAGATGGAGATGATTCCAGCACAGAGAAAATCAGGTGGGCTGGCAAGACACCCCCAGCAAATTCATTTAGTGGCACTGTTCTGTTAATTAACAGCAGTGCTAATTGACACAGGGATAACCAAAGTTCCATCCAGCTCCACCAGGCACAAATTCCTTTTTCCAGCACCACCAAACCCCATTGCCAGGCTGTCTGAAGTGCTGAATTACGACCTTAAAACCTCACTCAAACCCACACAGAGCAGCCCTTTGGCCTCAGAACACCAAAAAGCTCCTCCACACACGTGGGGCTTTGCTTGGATAGGGATAAATCCACTCCAGGATTTTGGGATCTGCTTCCTTTCCACGTCAGCAGGCAGATGTGACAGCCAGGAGCTGCAAAGGTCACCAGGCCTCCCTGTCAAAACCCTCTGATTTTAGGGATTCCCACACCTCTCTTGAGGCAAACATGACATCAGCCACTTGCAGGAGGCGTTCCCACCCTCAGGAATGTGGTCCTGGAATGATTTTTGGGAGGGCAGAGAGCAGCAAACCCTGCAGACCTGAGGGTGTTCCCTGGCAGAGCACCGGGAGGCTGATTTATTTAACCACACACCTGGGAATGTGGTCAAACCTCTCACCACCAAGGGTTTGGAATCCTAATTTTAGTCAGGGAGCTTCTTAGGTTTGTGGGATCATGATTTTAAAGGTTGGTTCCTGAAATATTCCACCTAAAGCTGGAAAAATTCCAGCCCTGAGCTGCAGGGATGGGGTTTGGAGAGACATGAACCATCAGGCACCAAGGGTTTGGAATCCTAATTTTATTCAGGAAACTTCTTAGGTTTGTGGGATCAGGATTTAAAAAGCTGGTTCACGAAATATTCCACCCAAAGTTGGAAAAATCCCAGCCCTGAGCTGCAGGGATGGGGTTTGGAGGGACAGGAACTGGTCCTGTTGTCAGGAAAAGGACAGGACAATCCAAAGGGAACAGCAAAATTCCTGCAGGAACCATCAGGCACCAAGGATCTGGAATTCTAATTTTATTCAGGGAACTTCTTAGGTTTGTGGGATCATGATTTTAAAGGCTGGTTCATTAAATATTCCACCCAAAGTTGGAAAAATCCCAGCCCTGAGCTGCAGGGATCAGATTTGGAGGGACATGAACTGGTCCTGCTCTCAGGAAAAGGACAGGACACCCTCAATCCTCAAAATTCCTGCAGGAACCATCAGGATTTGTGTCTGAGGCTCTGGCTGTCTTCATCCCAGGAATATTCTCCAGTGAAAGAAGTGCTGGGTTGTGCCTTTTTTTTCCTCCAGCATCCCAGCAGAGCCCTAAATTCCCCTTCAACCCCCTGGAAAATGAAATCCAGGCTGGAGCTCAGTGCCCAGGGCTCTGGCCACCACCAGCCCTTGGAAAACATGGAAAACACAGCCAAAAAACAACAACAAAAAAAGGAGTTTTTCCATGGAATAACAAAATAAAGAAATATAAAATAAAGAACTAGCAGCTCTCCCACTCTGCTCTGCCTCCCACACACAAACAGCAGCGTGGCTGTGCCCGGGGGCAAAGCTTTTGGAAAGAAAAGGAATCATTAAAAAGACTCTTTTCAGGTTTTTTTTCCCCCTCTCCCAGCTATTTTTGGTGCCCGGGTTTGGGGCTCGTGTGCCTTCATGCATTGTGCTGCCACATTGAATTTTTCCACTCGGTTTCCTCGTGCTGCTGATAGCTGGGCACAAAAAGCAGCTGGAAAAGAGGGAAAAGCTGGATTTCCTGGGAGTCATTTTCTTTCCAGGGAAGCAGGAGCGGACATTGTGGAATCTGCAATCAAGGCAGCAGATTTCCTATCTGTAATTTAATATAATTCTGTCATTTATTCATCTATATTCGTCTTTATTCATCTATTCTGTAATTTATTCATCTATAATTTACTGCCCATTTTTATCTCAGCCCATGGATAAATTTGGGCTCTGTGGAGGAGGGAGATGTTTTTGGGGCTAGGGAACACGAGGGGCAAAAAATTGGAGATTTTATTTGGGGTATGGGCCTGATGGAAAAGGTTCCAAAGGGTTTGAATGCAAGGGCAGAGATCCCAGGGATTTATTTGGCTCTAAAGGAGATCCAGGAAGCACAGAAAATGACATTTATTTGTCATTTTCAGGTACTTTTATATCCCAAGGAGGCTCTTGGGGAGAGGAACTCTGAGATAAGCTGAAGTGGAAAGCAAAAAGATCCCAAAATTCAGTCCCAAATCCTCCCACACACCTGGTCCTGCTGCTCAGGGATTTTTCTTTCTGCGCCTCAGGGCCTGATCAACTCCTGATTTCCCACCCTGCAAGGGCACACCATGCCCAAGTCCATCCCTGGGTTTTTGGGGGTTTAAAATTTTATTTTTCCTGCTCGCTGATGCAATTCCAGAACATTGGATTTTTGGGGGTTAAAATGTCCTTTTCCTGCTTTCCTTGAGGAATCCCAGTTTCACTGCTGACGAGCTGAGGCTGTGCCAGCTCCACTCCCAAATTTAAATTTAAATCCTCCCACTGCTCCCTGGCTGTCAGAGATGAAAGGCAGAGTTACACAAGCAGCCTGGGGACCTGGAATGACTCCTCAGGGATGAGGAAATGCCACCTCAGCACCATCCCAGAGGAATCTGGGAACGGGAATCCACGTCTGCTCCTCACCATTCCCAGTCCCATCTCATCCCATCCCATTCCCAGCCTATTCCTGTCCCATTCTGAATCCCATTCCCACCACATTTGTGCAAACCCCAGGGATGCTCAGCCTCTCCCAGCTGCAGGAACCCAACTCAGCCAAGAACCGAATCTTTTCACCCCAAAAAAGAAAATAAAGTGATGTCCCAATGCTGCTCCACCCCTTGGAGGAATCTGGGAATGGGAATCCTCATCTGCTCCCCACCATTCCCATTCCCATCCCATCCCATCCCATGGATCCCATCCCCATTTTAATTTCCATCCCATCCCATGAATCCCATGGATCCCATCCCATCCCATCCCATCCTATGGATCCCATCCCTATTCCCATCCCATCCCACGGATCCCATCCCCATTTTCATTTCCATCCCATCCCATGGATCCCATGGATCCCATCCCATCCCATTTGTGCCTCCTGAGCAAACCCCAGGGATGCTCAGCCTCTCCCAGCTGCAGGAACCCAACTCAGCCAAGAACCGAATCTTTTCACCCCAAAATAACTGAAATAAGGTGATGTCTCAATGCTGCTCCATCCTGGAAGAATCTGGGAATGGGAATCCATTCCCACTGGGAATAAGAGAATCCATTCCTAATTCCCATGCCATGGATCCGATCCCACCCCCATTCCCATCCCATCCCATCCCATGGATCCTATGGATCCCATCCCTTCCATGCCCATCATCCTACCCCCCATCCCATCCCATCCCATCCCATGGATCCTATGGATCCCATCCCATCCCATGGATCCCATCCCAACCCATCCCATCCCATTCCATCCCATCCCATGGATCCTATGGATCCCATTCTCATCCCATGGATCCCATCCCATCCCATTTGTGCCTCCTGGACAAACCCCAGCCATGCTCAGCTCAGCCTCTCCCAGCTGCAGGAACACAGCTCAGCCAAAAACTGAATCTTTTCACCCCAAAATGATCTGAACCAAGCTTATCCCCAGGGCTGGCCAAGAACTGAATCTTTTCACCCCAAAATGATGTGAATGAAGCTGTCCCCAGGGCTGGCCAAGAACTGACTCTTTTCACCCCAAAATTATTTGAATCAAGCTTTATCCCCAGGGCTGGCCAAGAACTGACTCTTTTCACCCCAAAACGATGTGAATGAAGCTGTGTCCCCAGGGCTGGCCAAGAACCGACTCTTTTCACCCCAAAACGATGTGAATGAAGCTGTGTCCCCAGGGCTGGCCAAGAACCGACTCTTTTCACCCCAAAACGATGTGAATGAAGCTGTGTCCCCAGGGCTGGCCAAGAACCGACTCTTTTCACCCCAAAACGATGTGAATGAAGCTGTGTCCCAGGGCTGGCCAAGAACTGAATCTTTTCACCCCAAAACGATGTGAATGAAGCTCTGTCCCAGGCTGGGCAGCCGGAGCGTGTCCTGGCTCCGTGCCCCGCGCGTTTCCTGCCGCTCTCCCTTCCTGCTGAAGCCCTGCCAGGCTTTTTTCCTTTTTCTTTTTGCAAAACAATCCCTGGCCTCATCCCCAAGCCCTTCCCACGGAGGAGACGAGGCTGAGCTCGCTCAGAGATCCCCACAGCCCTGCTCTGCGCGTTTGTGTTGGCCCAGAAATGGCAAAAAATGCCCCGAAATGTGGCCAAAATCCCACCAGGAATGGTTTTATGTAATATATATAAAGTTCATTATGGCTCCACTTCCAGCCAGGGTCCCAATCAGCTGCATCCTAAAGGGAAAGGATCACTGGGAAAGGGATCCAGGGGAAATTATGCTGAAAAATACAAAATTAGGCCCAAAAATTATGCAGAAAAATAGAATACTAGGCGAAAAGTTATGCAGAAAAATAGAAAATGATATAGAAAATTATACAGAAAATTAGGAATAAAATTATGCCATAAATTAGGCAGAACATGATGCCCAAAAAAGAGAAAGTTAGGCAAAAAGGGATGCAGGAAATGATGATGAAAATTAGGCAAAAAATTATGCAGAAAAATAGAAGATTATATAGAAAATTAGGCCAAAACTTATGCAGAAAATTATAATGAAAATTAGGCAGAAAAATAGAAAATTATATAGAAAATTATATAGAAAATTAGGCCAAAACTTATGCAGAAAATTATCATGAAAATTAGGCAGAAAAATAGAAAATTATATAGA